TATGTTTTTAAACTAGTATGAGGACCACATTTTCCGAGTCATTTAAACCTTTAAATCTCAAAAATAACGGTTCAAGACAGTTGAAACTTGCTGACCCTGTAGTACTTTGAAATTTGAAACTGTTGAAACTATTTTTTTTTGTGGGTTTCGCCATTAGGGGTGATCTTTAAAGGTTGAAACATTTAAATTACTAATAATTTACATACCAGTGCATGAAAGAAAGGTTATTGTACATATTGGAATATTATTTTATTAAAGTATTGCTTTGTTTTTTAATGTTTTGTCAAAACGGGTTGTTTTCATCCTTTAAAAATAAAATACACACATCAAAAACATATAAAATCCATATAGAAGAATAAGATAAGCTTAATTACCAATTATTATTAAAATCTGTGCTGCCCGAAAGAATTCTAGCCATGACACTTCTAATTAGCATGTAAGCTCATATATCTTCTGGCTCATTAACAGTCTACTTTATAGGTAAAACCTATTATAGTTTGTTCATTTGTCATCAATAGTATGTAATAGTTAAAATATAGTGTAATGTTCGTGGATTTAACAAAATTAACTTTTAAGACTGATAACGACAAAAACTATTTATTTACATTAATTATTAAAGAACTTAAAAACACTATTAAAACTTAGGTTATGAATTATACTACTGTTGATATATCATTATTCACTGCACTATTTATTTCACTGCTGTCACTGTCAATTTATTTCTGGATTTACTTCTGCAACGGTCAATTTGTTTCTTCTCCTCTNTGCTCTAGAATTTTACTTAATTTTAATTGTTTTAATTGTAATTGCACTTTTTAATGTTTTTGAATTTTGATTTAAGATTTCCTCTATTTTTGTTCCCATATGTCTTCAATATTAGTGGACATATCTTCATTTCAGTATTCTAGCTCTTGATTCAAGTCGACGAGTTTTAAATCCATTAATTTTTCGAAAATTTGACTAGAATATTCTTTTCTTGTTGACTATCTTGAACTTTACACCTGACGTCAATTGCAACGAGTTAGTAATTATTTTATTTATTTAAGGGGTATTTATTTTACAGTTACTTATTCGCATATTAATACTATTTAGATACTTAAATTATTAGTTATTTATATCATGCGGTATTTATAATGCTTATGTATTCGTCACAGTAATTATATCAGTAGTAACTCGTCCATATACAAACTAACTCCACTTTTACCACTTGTCCTCTAACTTGTACTACTACACTATCACGATTTAAAATAAATCACTACCCAAGTCTACAACCACAAAGTACTTTTTCACCTTGTAAATTAATATAAATACGCTGAGCATCGTCTACGGGAAACACACCACAATTAGAGGTTTGAGTAGCTAATCGATTCTAGGGACAAGATACCGTTTTTCCCTGTACAAGTTCCTTCGTGCTAATTTATACTCCGCTTCTATATTATTCCGTAATCTTATAACACAGAGAAGCTTTATTTCAGTAACTTTATTTGAATTGTAATGTAATAATTTTGCAGAGTATTGGAGCTGAATCTGTATTTGAAAATATACCTGTGGTTAAGAAGTCGGATGTTGTTTTCGTATCAGTTAAACCCTCAGTAATACCACAAGCACTTGGAGATATCACAAACGCAGATGACTTAAAAGCAAATGATGCTGACAAATTGTATCTATCAATAGCAATGGGGGTAACAATAAAGGAACTGGAAAGTGTAAGTTTAAAAAACAAAATAATGAGTTTACTAATAGGTACTGAAGACGTTGATATGTAAACGTATTGTAATATTCATAGGTTTAACAAAATTAACTTCTAAGACTGATAACGACAAAAACTATTTATTTACACTAATTATTAAAGAACTTAAAAACACTATTAAATTATTACTAAACTTAGGTTAAGAATTATTCTATTTATTTACACTACTGTTGATATAACACTATTCACTGCGCTATTTATTTCACTGCTATCACTGTCAATTTATTTCTGGATTCACTTCTGCAACGGTCAGTTTATTTCTTCTCTTTTGGCGATCGTCTCTTCCTTTAAATACTCTTTTGTTTACTTTCTGGGACCTTCTGGAAACATCCGGATAGTTTATTTTTTCTTTGAACTGTTTAACTGCTTTTCCAGAACGCAGGTACGACACACACATTTACAAACACGGCGCACATGAAGAAAGGCGCGCGCAGCTAGTCGGCGAATCGATAAGCTGTTCACGCCCACGTGTGACCGATTGCACACAAACACACTCGTGCTCGCTACAATAGGGGTTCAAGGTTCCTGATAATCGAACCAAATAAATTTGTTAAAGCGGTGTTTTTTAAAAACCCATTCGATCATCATACGTTTTAACTGGCGCTGCGAACAGGATAGAGAAGGTAGAAATCTACGAATTTCACCCCAAACACCTCAGAGTATCAACTTCTGCAACGTCTCTATCCATTTCGACACTTCCGACCCCTGGAACTTTTGATCACCTGAAGAGTCCTTCAACCTCTACTGGACAATTCATAATGGGACGTTTCACTAAAGGATCAGGAGTATTGGGAGGATTTTAAACCGTAAGTACAATTGCTGTATCTCCTTTTTTATATTGTTCTCCCCTTTTTCATTTTATTTATTGCACGGCATGGCATCATTAGATGAATTTTTGAAATGAATCAAAGCATTCGGTGAAGTCATCGCTCCATTTGATGGTTCTCCCGAATAGATAGATAGGTTCATTCATTGAGATAATTTTTACGTGAATGTCTCTACCACAACTCCGGCCTATAGAAATTTAAAATTTCGACATATAATAATATAATAATAATAANACGAATTTTATGGCATAAAGGCGTAGTAATGTCAAAATAGATCGTTTAGAAAGCAAACTTATTTGAGTTAAAGGTGGAATGTATTACTTTCGTTATTTAATGTGGCATAAAAGCTTTACACCAAAACACACCCTTGTAAAGCGTATTTTCAACGCTATTGACTTTTGAATAGATCTAGAGACACTCTCACTAGTCCAAACAGGTTGAGCAATAATTAAGAGGGCATAAATTTAGTGGTGTAGAAATTAATAGCATAATCGGAATGTAAGTCATTCGTACGCCACTGGCGTAATTAATTTTCTTAAACTCGTTTTACGTTATTAATGCCACGTTAAAGTTTAGATACTGTATATTCCACAATAACTGACAATGATGACACTGCGAATGTGCAACATGACTAACCAAAATCACTGTTAAAATATCCAAATACATATTTTTAATGACGTTTATAATCTTCTAATGATTTGTAACATTTATTGAATCTCGTTTAGCCAAAATATAGGTAATTTCACGTTCTTGTTTTACTTATTAGTAGAAAGCTCAAAAAGTTTGTAGTTCTTTAACTATTAGTGTTAAGCTCGTTGCTTTTACGATTTAGAAATGAAAGTTGCACGTTATTGCAGTTAAAGTGAATTCTAGGTTGCAACTGTAATAAAATATAGCGTCGACTTGTCATATCTGAACGCCAAATATAAATTTAATGTCTTCTAAAAAGTGAATTAACTTTTCGGCAGACTCTTAAAAATACAATGTTTGATGCAATGTCGTATATGTTCACAAATGTGGCAAATTTAGTAAATTGTTATAATTTTAACAATTCTTCTGTCTATAACAAATTGGTAATAAGAATATTCCAAAAACAAAAATACATACATAAAACAATACGTTGATAAAATAAAATTACATAACGAAGGCAAGTAAAGATTTTTATTTGTTCCAGAATTAGGAGACATAAGAGTTGCTTCAAATGAAAAATTGGCTTTCCTTTGAAACTATTATCATTTTTGTTATTCATAGAATTGATTTTTTTCTAATTTCCATTACACTGCACCTCTTTATAACTTGAACATGAAATAAATTAAAATCGCTAGAACTCTTAATAATATTTATCACAAAAGCTTTTATAGCAGTGGCTTTTAAACGTATTAAAACTGTTACAACATGAAAATATCGCTTTTTGTAGTCAACTTGTTTAATATTTTCTAGTAATTACTTTAATATACAAATGGTTCCTCAACACAGTGAAATTTTAAGGAATTATACCTAGAAGAGCAGCGGTTCTCAAACTTTCAGAAAACATAATCCTAATATAATGACGTTTTCTTTTTGTAGTTACGTATATGTATTACTGCAATAAGAACTAAAACGTACGTACCCCTTTTTAACAAGAACAGCGCAATTAATTCATATAAAATTGGTATCGTTATATTACATAATTTTTTTGTTATTAAGTAAGAAATATTTTGGATTGAAAAGTTGTACAACAATAATAAGAAAAAATATTTTAATCAAAAATATTCTGTTTTAAAAAGCTGTTAATATGTTAAAAAATCATAGAAAAAGGTAGAATTGTAAGTATTAGTAAGTATAAATTTTATTAACTTAACTAGTTGGTTTTTTGGGTAGGTTACATACTCTATTTATTGCATTATATATCTACAGTATAAAACATGTTGAGAACTGCTGATCTAAAGTATTAAATAGATCTGCTACTTTGTTTAAAATACAAATCATAAATCTAATTTATCTAGAAAATAAAGTCGGAAATAGTACGTAGAAGTAGGATACTTCTAATAAGATATTAAATCAAGTTTTAATTGATTAGTTTACTGCCTTTTGCTACACATTCTGCTTGCATTTCTATAAAAGTGACTAAGTGATTAATGATCCTTACAATTTGTCAAAATTTACAGCTTTCTCTAACGATGAAAATAAACAAAGGAATATTAATTTGATATATTGTCATACAGCAATTTCCAGCACAGTTAATTGCAGCATATTTAATATAATTATTGGTCTAATTGTTGATAAACTATAGCGTTGATTTAAATATGACATATAATTGACCTACAAAATTGTACATTTGTGATGTTGATATCCAAAAAGGACCATTAATCACAGAATCTTCGCTTCTTTGTTCTTTATCTTGACGATATCTTAATTTTTTGATATATTGTTTTTCCTCTTAGACACTACAGATTCTCAGGAAGGGTGCGTGGGTGAAGTTTCCATTCAAGTGGATCTGTTTACTCATCCTGGTACTGGCGAACACAAGGTCACAGTTAAAGGTACATGCATACATTTAATTTTTCAGTTACTCAAACTTTTTCGCAAATATATATTTAAGTATTAACTGACAAATCCTCATATAATATTTTGTTAGTTTTCTTTCTGTACTATATAGTAGAACCTCGACTGTTTCATTGAAGAAGTTTCCATTTTTTTTTATGGATAAATGATAAAAATTATAAAAGAATAAAACAAACACGTGAAAGAATTGATAAAATATCTCAAGAAATAAGAAAGTTATGGGACTTTAAAGTTGCGCTTGCAAGAATAATTTTGTTACACGCTGCGCTCCATCGTGTGACGTCATTTGACCTAAACGACGCCGCACGTATTCGCCGAGTACGTACGAATGTATAGTTATGTAGGAGCTTACGCCGTTCGATTCATATTTTGTTTATTTAGCCGGTGGCAGAGTTAAAAAAAATACCTGCAAATATTATATTGTTCCTGTGTCAAAGCGCAACAGTTAAAAATTAAATAAACACGAACGAAGCAAGAATCCTAGCGCGACTCTGAAACTAATACTTGAATGATTCGTGGTGCGGTGATATCGAAAAGGTCGAATGACGTCATAAGCGAATGTATTCTGTCGAAACTGCCAGACGCGGATCGCGATTTCGATCTGTTTGGATCTCATCAGCGCGTCGCAGGCAGCTCCGACAGAACACAGACCAACGTTTACCTGCTGTCTTAATCCTAAAATGTAGCATCGTGCTACAGATGGCGTTTACTGCACCATTTGTAGTATTTTCTAAAACGCACTGTTAAGACAGCAGGTAAACGTTGGTCTGTGTTCTGTCGGAGCTGCCTGCGACGCGCTGATGAGATCCAAAAAGCTCGAAATCGCGATCCGCGTCTGACAGTTTCGACAGAATACAGACCACGTCGAATTATTTTATTGGAGTAAAATTGGCCCGGAATGGAACCGGCGTCCTCCCAAATGCTGAGCAATGGTCTAAACCTCTAGGCCGTGCCATTCGGTCGTGGTCTACTATCGATTTCGTATCTTCTAGCGAAAACACCGATGGAGACGTTTATCATGCATTTTTCCAACGCTGTGGTTGGAACATTAAATCCACAGCGAAAAGTTTTACTCTCTCGCCAAGTTTCCCAACAATGCCAACCACAGTTGTTGACGAAACAATCGACAAATGGAATGTTTGAATTGTCGAGGTTCTACTATATAGGTAACAGGCAAAAGCTCAAGCCTCTTGGAAGTTCATTGTAGGTGATTTATAGCAAACAAAACTGTCGTAGTATCATTAATCTAAATTACTAAATTTACACTTGCTATTGTATCAAACTAATTGCACTTTGTTCTCACTTTATTTCTTTCTCTCTTACTCAAGTGGTTGCTGCAAACGACCTGAAATGGACGGTGGTTTCTGGAATGTTTCGACCATTTGTCGAAGTAAATCTAATCGGTCCTCACTTGTCCGACAAGAAGCGGAAGCATGCAACAAAATCGAAAGCCAACAACTGGTCTCCGAAGTATAACGAAACATTCCATTTGTAAGTACATATTGTTTTTAGTAATCTACTTAAATTTTTATTTTACAATTTTATCACTTCTGAATATCTTCATATGCACGGTAGCGCTAAATTACACTTATTTCTTAATGTTGAATGGCTTCTAGCAATCCTTGTTAGCTTATGATATTATTCCCTTAACAAATTCCATCGTACTCTATAGACGCACGTTGTCGCTCTTTATTATATGCTTTAAAATAAAGTTTGGCAGCCACTGGTGTTGCGACAGACATCTGCATCCGCATATGCGAAAGTTCTGCACGCTTTCTTGAGTCATTTTCTGCATCTGCTTCCATATTTTTATATGTAAATGCATCGGAAACCTTTTGCAGATATTACTTATAGAAATTTGAGTATTGTAATAGAGATTTCAAGGCGAAAAAGCGTCTAAATTACTACTTCTTGGATATAATTTGCCTTTACTAAATTTAATCTAATAATATAAAAATAATTGTCAAACAATTGTTATTTTTCAACATAGTTTTTACTTCTGCAAAAAGTTACTATTGGTATCTGCTTCTGCATCTATTTCTGTTATGACAATTTCTTAAAATGACGTTCATATGCAAAGTTTAGTGCTTTAATGTGCTTCAAGCTTGCTCCATTAGTTCTCAAGACACGCTTTTCAAAGTGAAAAACATCCGCAAAGGTAGTAAGATTGTCAACGTAAAAGAAATATTGTGTCTTCCAAATCGTATATTTGTGTTATAGTATCATTGGTAATGAGGAACAGTTGGATTTCTACGAGCTTCACATTTGCGTAAAGGATTACTGCTTTGCAAGAGAAGATCGATTAGTGGGTGTCGCAGTGATGCAGTTGAAAGACATTGTGGATCGGGTAAGTACCTTATTTCGTAAATCGATCAGCACTATCTTTGAAAACTTAAAAAATGAGGGCAGTTACTTCAGAATTTCTTTTCATAATCTTTAAACATTGTTTCAGTATGTTTATTAGATCTAATATTAATGAGAAAATTCATTTAATTTTTATCGACTACAAGTAATCTCAAATTAATGAGGATTCAGGATCGATTCCCGACAAGGGTATGTCAGCAGCAACAATTTTTCCTAATTAATTTGTGGTAATTTGCAGTGGATAAAATTAATGAATTTTCGAAGTATTACTTAATATTAACCACTATTTAAAAGTGTCATTTATTATATGATACTGACCACAACAACATCTATTAAATTTAAAAAATTTTGGTGACAACCTCATAATTTCTAAATATTGAAGTTAATTAAAACTGAATCTTATTAACGCCTAAGAATAGTCAGAAACTAATACATTAGCAACAACGTTTTCGATACAGAGTCAATCAAATTTGAATCAATAGACAAATAAATGTAAAATGTAAATTAATTAAATGCACTCTTTTGTTTTCTAAATCGTCTAGAAAGTGTCATGTGTTTCTTTCAGGGTTCATGTGCCTGTTGGCTGTCGTTGGGTAAGAGGATCCAAATGGACGAAACGGGTTGGACTATTCTTCGAATCCTGTCCCAAAGGACGAACGACGAAGTAGCCAAGGAATTCGTCAAATTAAAATCGGACATCCGACAAGAAAATTTACCACCAAATAATTAATAAGTGACGCTAAAACCATTAGTGCCCGCTCTAATAAATTAAATTAATAAAATTAAAGAGTACACAAAAGGGACGACGGCAAAATCAAAACGTTGTTCTTACACTAATATAATCAGGACAGAGACAAGTTAACGCTCTGTATATGCACACAAGTGATCGTAAACAGGACCGTCCTAAGTGAAAATCGTCGCCGCAGCAAAAACAAAAAAAAAATAAGAAATTTAACGTAAATGTGCCTCTCTGCAAAGAACTCAAACCAATAAACCTACCACATAAATAAAATTAAATGCTTCTTGGGAGAACAGAAAGAAAACTATTGGGGTCAAAAAGAAAACAGAAAAGAAAAAGGCATAACACATGCAATAAAATAAAATAAAACAAAAGAATATGTTTTGTGTTTTAATATTATGTAGATGTACTTAGTATATTATGTTTTAAAGAAGAAAAATCACTTTAAGGAGTTTGTCTTTTGAGATAGACCATCTGAAATTACTCCAGATATTAATGGACGAATGTCTCTGAGTAGTGTTTCAAGGGCATGCTTTTCGTTTCCATGACTAGTTTTTCCACTAGGGGACGGGCATTTGACTAGTATGCATTAGCAAAATCTTGAATGGTTTCGATCATTAAAAATTTGATTCCTAAAGATCCTTACGTGTTTAGTAAGATTATGAATGGTTTTTTCCAAAGCATTTTCAAAAAAGAAAATTGTAATAAAAAGTCGAAAATATTTAAGTATTTTAGTGGAAATTATCGGAATTACAGATATATTATAAAAAAGTTTTGCTCAACTATCCCCACCTCCTCCCCCATAGTGAAAAACCTAACCTTGAAATCGAAAAACGGACCATTTAAACACTACTTAGTTACATTTACTTTGTTAATTACAGCTAATTTCCAATAAACTGATTTTTCTTCATTAGGGCTGCCGCAAGAGTCAAAAATATATTGATCTTGTCTTGTCTGGGTTTGTCTTGAAAACCAAGGCAATATTAAAAACAATTACCACATAACCCAAGACGCCTTGAGTTCTGGGAAAATGAACGATGTGGAGCCTCAGGTACGTAGATAAATATACAATAATCTCGCATCAGATTTATTTATATCCTCATACTATTTTCCACCACTCTTCAGCCAGGAAATGAAATTTTTTAGGTTAAATAGTTTTTTTTTTATTTAGCAATCATGTTCATCGAGAGAAAATGGTAAAGCTTTGGATTTGAATAAAGTGATAGATATTTTTGCATCATTAAATAACTCCGCATAATTTGGTATTCATCAAAGTGTTTTTGGATTATTTGACGTTGAATACAAAGTTGTGACTTTAAATTTTACATGTATCGGATTAAATTAATATTCCAGGTGTGCCGGAACGAGGGTTGGAATGTAATGCTTTAGATATATGATGAAGACAAGGTTTAGATTTTAGACCAAAAATGAAAATAAAGTACCTAAGTACAGATGAAAAATACAAGAACAAGACAATTGGAATTTTCATTATTTTTTCGATAGCAAGATAATATTTTGAAAACTATCGTATTGCGGCAGGCCTATTATTAACATAAATTTATTTCTACAAATGTTGTTATGTGTTTTGTACCTTCTGCAAATGTAAACCCAAAAACAAATGTGATCCAGACTAAATACGATACATGGACTGAATAAAAACGGTATAGGTACATATACATATGTCTGTATGTAACAGTTTACTTACTTGCTTCACTCCTCAACTCTTCTATCTATCGTTTCTTATTACGTATTAACGTACAATAATGCGCTTCTCAATAAACACAACCTAGTCTGTGGATTGATGTTAAGATGGAATTCAAAACACTAAAAAAAAGGAAGAATTTTGTTTTTCTCTTTAAGTGTGCGCGTAAATCGGCCCCTAACCCTGGGTTCAAATGAGGTGGGCATTCCATCTTCTTAGTAAACATTCATTGTCGATCATTGTGTAACATCGCCCTGTATATTCTGCTTAATAACCTACTGAGCCTTATATTGTGAATTCTCTCCTTTTCGGCTACGACACTGCCCGACAGGACGAAGTAATTATCAATTAATACAATTGATTAAAATTAAAAACCGTCTAAGAAATTTACAAAAAGGTTTCGTCTTTTTGCTATGAAAGAGTAAATTAAATGACAATTATCTATCGAAATATTAAATTACTTATTTTTTAGTTAATTAAAAAGGGGTTACAGTAATTATTTTATTTATTTTTTAAATTATTTAAATCAATTCTTTTGTCTTTGGTTATTTCTTAATTATTAACTTAATTACAATTGTTAACATTAATAATTTATTTATTTACTATTTATTATCGTAAACTACTCCTTTTTGAGAAGAATGTGCTTATTTTTTGTACTGACCCTTTCAAATTTAATTTAAATAGGTACTTTATATTTATATAGTTTCGGATTTAACTTGCAAGTAAAAAAAGGAAATTGTTTTTAAGATTACTCTTCCTTTCGGGCATTTCTGTCGGCACACATAATATAAACGTTGCGTTCTACTGTGATATTCAACTGTACATATTGTACGTCTCTTATATAAGTGTCTCATTAACATGCAAATTCAATTTATTAGCTTATGATTAGCACACTAAACGATCAATAATAAATAATAGTTACAATATCGTAATTTATTGTAAATTTTCTAAAATCGAATCACTTAATAAGACCACATTAAAAAATAATGACAATATTATGTAATCATTAATACTTAAATAGTCTTTTAAAGATCGGTCTTTGCCAGCCCGAAGTATTAATTTTCTATAGTACGTTTGTGTAGCTTCATTCCCGATACGAAAAGTACAGTACATTCGATATTTTGTGGTGAAGGTTTTCTTTAGATTTGAATACTTAGTTACTGTTTATTTGTTTAATAATTTCTAATGCTTCACTACGAATTCCATTCGATGATTATACCAATAACGTCCATGTGAACAGTGCTACGATGACTTTTTTTATGTATTCATCTGAATTTACCTCTATTTTTTTATATTATTGACAAAATATTCGCATGTACCGTGCGGCTAGTCGTCCTGCACTCTTTTTTACGAACATAGAATACCAGACTATGCAGTATCTGGGTACTAAACAAACATTATTCTTTAATTGCTCTTAAGTATGTATAGTTTTACATCATTACAGAAATTCCTTGATTTGGTTTGAAGTACACAAAATTTTTATTCTGATTCTAAAATTAAGTTATGGTAATCTTAATTCACCACACAATACGAAATGTTTATTTTTCGTTTCCTTCACTATGTATTTTATTTACAAAAACTCTGTCGTAATCTTGCAAGTATTACTATGTCTATTATAAAACAACAATAGTGTATCAAAATTCACATAAAATGGACCTGTTTAAATTTACTCCTTTACTTTCTTATAATATAGGTAATGATTGATAGATCAAAAGCTAATCGTATACAAAACAGTATTAATATAAGCATTTGTTTTCAGAAAATTAATAGTTTGAGGTAATTTTGATACA